ATCACCATGAGATACAGTTACAAAGCTTTCATATTTGAGTTTCAGTCATACAATGATCAGACACCCATCCCTCCACCAGTGCACATTCTCCACCACCAATGTCCCCAGTATTACACCTCTCATCCTTCTAACCTTTCCCCGGCCTCCATGGCAGACAATTTCCCCCATACTCTCTCTCTACTTTTGGGCATCCTGGTTTGCAATACAGACCCTGAGAGGTTATCATGTTTGGTCCTATATCTACTTTCTGCACACATCTCCCATCCCGGCCGATTCCTCCAGCCATGTTTTTCTTAGTGATCCCTCCTCCATTCTAGCTGCCTTCTCCCCTTTGCTCATGAGGCAGGCTTCCAGCTATGGAGCAATCTATCTGTCCCGTGCATCTACTGTCCTTAGGTGTCAGCATCATGTCATGTTGGTTTATACTCCACAAACGAGTGCAGTCCTTCTATGTCTGTCCCTCTCTTTCTGACTCAATGCTCTTAGCATGATACTCTCCATGACCATCCACTTATAAACGAATTTCATAACTTCATCTTTCCTAACAGCTGCATAGTATTCCATCGTGTAGATGTACCAAAGTTTCTTTAACCAGGCATCTGTTCTTGGGCACTTGGGTTGTTTACAGCTACTGGCTATTGAGAACAGTACTGCAATGAGGGACTTGACCCTTCTGACTGAGGAACCCCGAATCCAGCAGAGAGCCAAGGCTCTGTACTGGCACTGTAGCACTGTCCTCCCGTTGTTCATGGATTTGCTCAAGCAGGCCCAGTAATGTCTCCATTGTGAGACTTGTTGTTACTGTGTTTGGCATATCGAATACGTCACGGTAGCTTGCCAGGCTTTGCCAAGCGGGCGAGATACTCTCGGTAGCTTGCCGGACTCTCCACGAGGGGCGGAGGAATTGAACCTGGCTTGGCCTAGAGGGGCAGAGGAATTGAACCCCAGCAACCAGTTGCTACTTTGGCCTTTTCTTTTAATTTTATTTATTTTTTAATTTTTATTGCTTTTTGGGTCAAACCCAGTGATGCACAGGGGTTACTCCTGGCTCATGCACTCGGGAATCACTCCTGGCAGTGCTCAGGGGACCCTATGGGATGCTGGGAATCAAACCCGGGTCGGCCGCGTGCAAGGCAAACGCCCTACCACTGTGGTATTTGCAAAAAAAAAAAAAAAAAAAAAAAAAGATCTCAAGGCCTTCTTCCTTCCACCTTTGCCCTCTAGCATGTAGGGTTTCAGGAACTTACCTAGACGTGGCCGACTCCAGTCTGGTCCCAGGCACTGTCGCAGATGGTCTCCCAAGCATCGCCTGGAGTGATCCTGACACACAGAGCCAGGAGTAAGCCTTGGTCACCAGAAGACCCAGAACGACTGCAGTGTAGGGGGCTCATCCGAGCAGGAGTGTGGGATAGAGAATGACGAGTGTCACCTGAATAGCCCGCTGGCTCTCATCCCCCACGACAGGCAGGACTCGGAGGCCCTGATCGTGTTTGTCAAATCCGAATGGTAAGTGGAGTCCTTAGGAAGGACTTCCCAGCTCTCCACGACCATCCACTTATAAGCAAATTTCATGACTTCATCTCTCCTAACAGCTGCATAGTATTCCATCGTGTAGATCTACCAAGATTTCTTTAACCAGCATTTTTTCTCGGACACTCACGTTGTTGAGACATATGATTAACTTTTTTTTTTTTAATTTTTTTAACCAAAAAGTGTGAGTGATGACAGAAAAAGCAAACATCGTCGGTATTCAACCTTAATGGTGAGGGCCCAGGACCTGTGTCTTGGGCTGGAGCACACACTTTACTGATAGGTTCCATTTCTAGCATTGAATGAATGGTTCCCTGAGCACTGCTGAGTGAGCCCTGAGCACCGAGTCAGGAATAGTCCCTGAGTACTGCCAGGTGTAGCCCCCAAGCCAAAAGGAGAAAATAAACCATGATGAGCGAACGACATAAAAATACGTAACACATTTATTTATTATTTATTTTTAGCAGATGAATGGGATTTTTTTTTAATTGAATCACCGTGAATTACAATGCTATTCATCATTGAGTTTCAGGCATAAACACCAACCCACTCCCTCCACCACGCCCCGAGTTTCTCTCCCGTCTCCCAGCCCGCGTCTGTTATAGGCACTTTACACCTTATTACAGCATGCCGTTTGGTGTGTGTGTGTGTGTGTGTGTGTGTGTGTACACGCGTGTGTGCGTGTGCGCATGTAACTCCAGTGTAACTCACACCGAAAGCTAAAGTCATTAAAATGTTATTCTGCTCAAGGTACGTAGAGCAAATACACAATATGATTTTTTCCAGGCTCCAAAGTTGGTTTGTAAATCCGTAAGAAACTCTGGAGCATCACATGTCAAATAAAGCTGCTGGTTTAGAAGCCAGACGCGACCCGGGCACGGGCTGGGATCCCCGAGCCTTCCCGGGGGCGCATCTTCTCACCCCTGTGGAACTAATCGTTTCTCCCTTAGCCGCTTTGCAAAAAAAAAAAAACCCGGACACCTCGCCCCCACGTGCCAACGCAGCGTCCACGTGGGTGCCCGCCCATCTCTGCACCCCAGAAAAGGGGCGGTCGGAGGCCTGTGACATGGGGCTGTGGCCGGATGAGCCTGCGTCACGGCTGGAGCACGCCTTGCTCCTGGCAACGGGTTCGGAACCAGTTTGCAACTCACACCTTCGCAGCGCTGGGAGCACGGAACCGCCCAGCAGCTGAGCCGGACTCGGCCCAAAGGGGACCCGGGGGTGCCGCTTCCAGCTCCAGACTTCCTTCTCTTCTTGGTGGCCCCTGGGGATCTTCCCAGCAACCCCCCTCCCACACACACATGCACACACACACACATGCGTGCACATACACACACAAGCGCGCACACACATAAAAGCGCATGTACACACACATACACACATGCGCGCACATACACAAGTGCACACACACAAGCACACACACACACAAGCACATGCACAGACACATACATACATGCGTGCACATACACAAGTGCGCACACACAAGCCCACACACAAGTGTGCATACACACATGCATGCACACACACAAGCACACACAACCGTGCATATACACACATACGTGTGCACACACAAGTGCGAAAAACACAAGCACACATGCGTGCACATACACAAGTGCACACACACGAGCGTGCGTACACACACACACACATGCATGCACATATACAAGCACGCACACACAAGCACACACACTCGAAAGCGTGCGCGACTGCGCGCACGCACACACACACACACACACACACATACACACGATAGTTTCCTCCAGGTATTTTCATCGCCTCCTAACCACCAAGGCTGCTCCTGAGCCCAGGGGCTCCCGCCGCCCGCCCGTCTCCCAGGACGTCCCCCAGCACTGCCAGAGCGTCCGTCACCCTGGACTCCTCGCTGTGTGCCCTGGCCTTTCCTCCACCCCAGCACCGACCAGCAGTTTCTGGGCAGCTCTGGCTGGCTGCAGCAGGTGGCCCTGCCCGCAGACTCTCCCACCAGCCCCTGGGGGCCCCAGCAGTTGCCAGTTCTCCCCTGTGGAGTGGACACCCCTCCCAGCACTGTGTTGCCAGAATGGCTGGGGCGGTCACTGGAGGGGTCCAGGGCTGCCAGACTGGGGTGAGACCCCCAAGGGCACAGGAGCGGGGGGCACCTTGTCCATGGCTTCTGACAGTGACGGCGTTTCCTGGGGGCGCTCGGACCACACAGCGACTGCCAGGAGGGACTCGGGTGGGTCAAGACACGGTCCTGCCAGTGTCCCCTCGCCCTGAAGGGCACAGGCTGTGAGCTCGTGGTTTCCAGACACGGACCTGGGGGGTGGTGACACTGGCAGGGAACACTCACCCCCAGCACCAAGTGCCCATCCCCTTTCTCCCCTCTGCACACGTAGGGCACATGCAGGGCACACGCAGGGCACAAGCAGGGCCCCCCTCTGCCCCCTGTGATCCCAGACAGAGGCTGGGTTACAGCACCAGGAAGTGGGGCCCCTCGTGCCCTCTGGAAATCAAGGAGGTCAGAGAGGCTGTGGAGGCCACGGATGCCACAGAGGCCGGAGACTTCCGGGAAATGAAGTCAGCCGCAAATGTAGGATAGATTCCTGACTCGGTGGCAGCCCTGCCCGCTGCCCGGGGACTGAGGAGTGTCTCCATCTCCAGGAAACAGAGATGACGCCTCTGAGAAAGACACCAAAGCTGCAGGTGACCGCTGGCAGTGGGCAGAAACTTCCAGAAGGTCAGGAGGGCAGGAGCCGGTACTGGCCGAGGCGGGGGCTCCTCCTGACCCATCCCGTGGCCCTCGAGTGGGGGGCAGCAGCTGGCATGAGGCCACGCCTGTCACTCAGAGTGAGGTCCAACCCAACCGCCCAGAAGGTGCTCAATGGTTAGTGCTTTGAAGACTCAAGCGAGGCTGCGGTGGGCAGAGTCCCCCTTGCCGGCATTGGGACCACCAGCCATCTACCCCAAACAAGGCTTTTATTTCAGTTTTCAATGCAGAGACAGATCTTTCCAAATGAAAAAAAAAATCACTTGACTTAGTGGATTCAGAACCGCAAGAATGAGATAGGCTTGGAAGGACAGCTGGACAGTACGGACCGGGGACACAGAACTGTCCACTCCCTTCCTGGCCGGGGCTCCGGGGGTCCGGGAGTCTGCCCAGCCCGAGCCTGTCTGTGTGACAGTGAGTGGCACTCCGCAGGGGGCATCACACGCCATACCAGGCAACTAAGGCAAGGGGAAACACAAAACCCACAGACATCTGGGACGTGTGGACAAGTGAGTCCAGGTCCACAGGAAGGGACACGGCAGAACAGACGCTGCTTGGGCATCGCCAGGAAGGGTTCGGGTTTCCGTGGTCGAAAAGGAACAAGAAGACCTACAGCTTTCTAGGCTGGGCGGGGGGGGTGGGAAGGAGGGGAGAGGAGAGAGAGAGAGAGAGAGAGAGAGAGAGAGAGAGAGAGAGAGAGAGAGAGAGGCAGGGAGTGGGGAGCTTGTCACTGTGCACTGGCGGCCCCCGGCCGGGTCTCTCAGGTCTTGAGGGTGGCGGCGGCCTGGAAGCAGGCGAGCTGGAGCTGCATGGTGCTCTTGAACCTGTTGAGTAGCTGCTCCAGCAGCCTGTGGGGGAGAGGGAGGGCGGCCTGAAGGGGGGTTGCCTGGGGGTGGTGGTGGTGGTGCCTCCGCCCGGCCCCCGCACCTGTGGCCACTGCCCCCTCCCCCCCCGCCCAGAGGGCCACTCCCGACTTGGACCCCTGGCTCTGCAGGAAGCAGGGTTTCGGCCTGTGGGTGGTTTTCTTTTCTAATTCAGTTTTGCAAACTTGACAGAGCCTCGATGAACCTGGCAGTGGGCGAGTGTGAAGAGCCCTCAGACCCCCCCCGCCCCCCCCCCCCCCCAACTCCTCATGCAGCCCTGGGTAGTGGCCCCCTCCACCAACATCGATTCTCTCTCGTCTGGAACAGGCCTCAGGGCGGCACTAAGGGCCTGACCGAGGAGGAGCTGGCAGGGGGCGATGGCCCTGCTGGACTCGGTCTCCACAGCACAGACGGGACCTCCCTGGGCCTCACCTCCTCAAGCACCTGCCTCCTGAACCCCGTTTCAGCAACCAGAGAAACGTCACCGTGCTTAGGGACAAGAACAGGGTTTGGGGACAATTCGGGTAGAGGGTGAAAGAGGAAATGTAGCCGGGGTCGGGGTGCGGGTGAGGGGTGAAGGGTGAGAGGTCGGGGTGAGAAGTCTGGATGCAGGTGAGGGCTGAGGTTGAGGGGTGAAGGGTCGGGCTGTGGGACCAAGCACCGACTACCCTGTTCCCCATCTTCCGGTTTCCTCCCATCTCTGTGCCCATCACTCACTTCTCATGTGACATCTCCCAGGGCCCCCCACCCCACGACCCCCCGCATCCCAAGCCCAGGCCCAGCTCCAAAGACTCAGCCCAACAGCTGATGGAGGCCCCCAGGGCCCCCCCAGGGCAGTTGGGCAGGGCCAAAGGTCAACACCCCCTAGGGCCCTGTGGGTGAGGCACTTGAGGAGACTGGCCTGGCTTGGATTTGCCTCAGCCCACGTCCCTGTCAGAGGCGCAGAGCTTAGCCCTGGGGCCTGGGATCTGGACAAGCGCGCCCCCCAACTTCACAGACCGTGCGCCCGATGGGTTCGTTTGCCCCTTTACTGCAGGGAACACATCACCTGCTTAGTTCCGCAGGGACCGAGCAGGTGTGTTCTTCTCTCTTAGACTTTCTCTTTGACCATCTCAGACTATCTCTTGGGGGTATTTCCTTCAGAAATGCGGGACTGTCAGTCGAGTTTAGTGAGTGACTCAAATGACGCCTTCCTAAGATATTTTCTCTCCGAGTCATTTCAAGCAAGAGAAGCTCTAATGTCTCCACCGTCCTTCACCCAGAAAAAGTTTCCCCTGGTCCTGTCAGCTGGGGGACAGTATTCTTGGGGCGTGGAGGGGGGTCACAAACTCAGGTCCACACCCTTAAAGGGCCCTGGTGAGCAGCACCCAGAAGTGAATCCCAATTTTTTAACATTTCATTTCTGTTCCTGAGAGGGTCTCATGCCCAAGTCACCCTGACACCACCCCGTCCATCCGCCAGAGTCTTCGCTTCCCCCAAGGACCCCTCCCGGCCCTCCCGCCCGTGAACTCACTTCTGTGGCCTGACAATCCAGTTGTGTTGCTTTGCAGCCCTTGGTCAACCCATCGCGGCTTTTTTACACCCCACATGTCAGCTCACTCCGAGTCGGACCCTCCTCTGGCGACCGACCTCGCTCGGAGTGAGCCCCTCCATCCCACCCGACCCCCGCAGTCGCCCGCTGCAGGGTCTCGTCTTTTCCTGCCCCCCCTCCGGGGTACTCCGCTATGGGTCTACACCACCGGCCAGAACTCACTTTTTGTCGGCGCCGCTGGAGAGCTGGGGCAGGGCTTCCAACGCCTGCTTGAAGCTGGACCTGCAAAGCAAGCAGAGGCGCTGGTGCGGGGAGAGAACTTCCCGAGCTCGAGAGGGAGTGAGGAGCTCGACCGGGTGCCTCCCGGGCATCTCGAGTATCCAACATATTTGGGGTGAGCCACGGAGAAGAGACGGGAACAAGTAAAAGTGAGAACTAGGCAAAGGAAAAGCCAAAGTGAGGGGATCCATATCAGACCAGGCCCCTGAGTGGGGTCAGAAAGACGCCACTGGGGAATGAAAGAGAACCTTCAAAGCTCAGGGAGTACCAGGAGGATTACGCCATGGCTGAGAGGCCAGCCGGGCACCCTAGGGGAAAGGGCAACTCAGATAGAGACGGGAGCACCAAATAAAGGGCGTCAGGAGGATCCTCCCAGGATGGGAGATGCATGTTGAAAGTAGACTATGGACCGAACATGATTGCCACTCAATGCCTCTTTTGCAGACCACAACACTCAAAAGGAGAGAATAAACGGGAATGTCCTGCCACAGAGGCGGGGTGGGATGGAGGGGATGGTGGTGGGAAATGGGCACTGGTGGAGGGATGGGTATTTGATCATTGTATAATCAAAACCCAAGCACAAAAGTTTGTAAGTCTACAACTGTACCTCATGGTGTCTCACTAATACAAATTATTTTTTTAAAAATATATAACTCCAACCTAGTATACGTAACCCTCCAAACTATTCATTTTTCATAAAAGTAAAGATAGTAAAGTAAAGTAAAAGTAAAGGTCCTCCCGTTGATCATCGATTTGCTCGAGCGGGCCCAGTAACGTCTCCATTGGAGACTTTGTTGTTACTGTGTCTGGCATATCGAATACTCTCGGTAGCTTGCTGGGCTCTCTGAGAGGGGCGGAGGAATCGAACTCGGGTCGGCCATGTTGGCTGCGTGCAAGGCAAATGCCCTACCGCTGGGAGAAACTGATTTTTATCCACGGAGGCCCCCGGTGGTCCAGGGGGAGGGAGATGCGGACGGGGGTCTCATTCCACGAGGGTTCGCAAACGCAGAGCCGAACCACAGGTGGAGGGGAGAGAGGAAGCCACACAGAAGGCGGCCGGGATGCAGGGGACAGACACTCGTGGGGAGTGCTCCCCGAACACAGGCAGGGGTGGCTTTCAAATAAAAAAAATCAATGAAATGAAAAGAATGAAATTCCCCAAACAGGGTACCTCTGGAGCTGACAGGCTCAGACCCACGGCCTCCCTAGGAACCAGCTGTTCTGAGATTATACACAAGAGTGGTAGAACTGGGACTGGAGAGATAGCACAGCGGGTAGGGTGTTTGCCTTGCATGCAGCCAACCCGGGTTCAATCCCCAACATACCATAAGGTCCCCTGAGCACTGCCAGGAGTAATTCCTGAGTGCAGAGCCAGGAGGAACCCCTGTGCAAAACACTGGGTGTGACCCAAAAAAAGAAAAAAAAAGAGTGGTAGGACAATTGGTACTTATGAAAAAATAATCAGTGTCATTTCCTCTCATCAAAGAGGGTCAGAGAAATGGACTTAGAGTCACTGATTTCCTCTGCTGCATTTCGTCCAGCAGAAAACACCAGAAAAAAACATGGAATCGAGCACATTTTAGGGGCGCTCATTCGGGAAGGAATGAGAACACCATAAAAATGATGGAATCCAGCACGTTTTAGGGGCGTTCATTCGGTAAGGACTTCAGGTATGTGCTCAGGCGTCACCCCTTTCTTTCTCTTAGATGACCGGTGATAAAGATGAAGACCCGGATCAAAGGGTCCTCGATGTGGAAGCGGTCTTCTCTTTCACATGGCAGACCCTTCAGAGAGTGCGCAGGAGAGACCCTTGGCAGGAGCCTGTCTCAGATGCGGACCAGCTTGACACAGCATCCTCTGCGAGATGGAGAAGTCCTTAGGGGTGGACACGACGGTCTACGCTCACACATCACCTCTACTAGGAAGAACTCTGCATGCGGAGTGGACAGTGGCGGTGGCTGGGAAGGTGGGGCTGAAGGAACTGGAAGCCCCGGGGCCTGGTCAGCCACAGATACCCCCTCCACCATGAACAGAAGTTGGTCACTGCACGTCGCAGGGAAGCGTTTAGGCAGGGTGGTTCTATTGGGGGTGAGGACAGTAAGGATGATGGTGGAGGAGGCTGTAGGAGACCGGGAGTGAATGAATGAGTGCATCATGCACACACATGAGTGCGTGCATGCGCGCGCGCGCACACACACACACACACACACACACACACACACACACAACCCCGCCAAAACGCTTTCTTTGCACGCCATGCCATTCCCTGGGCAATAGAACGCGTGCTTCCTGGGTCCGAGGGCTGAGGAAGTAAACAGCCTGGCCCGGCTGGGGGGGCTGGGTTGCTGAGTTCACCCGCTGATGCTTCAATGATAGGAAATCCTGACTTTCATTCAAAACAGCTAAAAGTCATCATCAAATTTCCACTACAGGATTTTGCAGCAAAACCACAAGGCTTCCTCTGCTGCTCCCTCACACCCTCGGACTGCCCCGGCTCGCCCGTGAGACTAGAGTAAAGCTCACGTCTGAGTTTTTCCCCCCCCTGACACGGGAAGTCGGTGAGAAGGCCCCACGAGGACGACGATGGGGCTCAGGGCTTGTTTTAGTGAATGAAAACCGGCACCCCGAGGCGAAACCCTGCCTTCCTTTGTATTCGGCTCCAGAGGAAGTCCTCGAAGGCCTCGCGGCACTCGGCTCTTTGTGGGGCCCCCGATTCCTTCTAACCAAAGAATTGACGGGGCCCAGCTCCAAACTGGGCCACTGAACCCCCCTGGCCCTTGGTTCGGACGGGCCCACCTGGACCCAGGCTGCTCCGCCGTTGCCGGATGGGGAATGGGGCGGGGTTCATCTCACCTGCTGTCGGGGGTCAGGTGCACGGCCACAGTGTCCCGCAGAGCGCAGATCTCCAGCCTGGCCTGCAGGAGAGAGCAGAGGATGGTGACCCCCGGGAAGAGCCCGTGACCGCGAGGTACCCGATGCCTCCCTGACGTGGCCATTGCTGGGCAGATGGTCTCGGTTGCTTCAAAGTCTTGGCTCTTTTTTTTTTTTTTTGCTTTTCGGGTCATACCAGCTGTTGCACAGGGGTTCCTCCTGGCTCATGCACTCAGGAATCACTCCTGGCGGTGCCCAGGGGACCCTATGGGATGCTGGGAATCGAACCCGGGTCAGCCGCGTGCAAGGCAAACACACTCCCCACTGTGCTATCCTCCAAGCCCCAGTCTCGGTTCTTTAAGTGCCTTTCACTGCCCTCTGGTTTGACACCGGGCAGGAATGCATATGAAGGGGGGAGGCCGAGGGTGCGAGAGGTTTCACACCATCGGTAACTCGTCCTCCAATGGGGATGCTTCCTTCTTACCTTCCTGAGAGGGAGTCTGGATGGGCACCAGAGCACATGCCCGCCCCAAGGGCTGAGGGAAGGGACCTCGCTTCCCTGGACTGCGGCCCTTGCAAACGCACGGGCACACTCATCTTGTCTCCACACTCAGGGGCACCCGGCAGTCAGGGTGTGGTGTGCTGTGTCTAGGAAAACCACAGCTGGACTTTCACTTTTTATTTCACCAAAAAGAACAGGCAAGCTGGTTATAAAATTCCTCGGGAAATGCCGGGACCTCCAAACAGACCATTTTGGAGAATAGGAGCATAGTTCGAGTCATGCTTTGCTCCCCACACTGGCAATGGGACTGTTAGCAATCAAGACAGAGTAGACAGAGCACAGACACGTGGGGCATTCAATGGGGTGAGTGGGTCCAAGAAAGAAACGCAATTTACGCACGGCTGATATTTAGCAAGGGTGCAAGGTCTGTCAACGGGGCAAAAACTAACATCGCCAACACATGGACGAGCAACCGGACATCCACATGCAAATGGAAGAAGTAGAACATGAAACGCAAACGGGATCGGACCGAAATGGAAGCGGGAGCACTGTGAAGCCCTCAGACAGCAAACCGGAGTCGATCTTTATGCTGCTGGGCGAGGCACGCCTTCACAGAAGTGACACCAAAACAGCAAAAAAAAAAAAAAATTGATGACACTTCCTCAAAACTGCAAACAACAGCTGCCCCAACCCCCCCTGCTGCACAGGGTCAGGCACACATGGCCTTGGCTTTGACTCCGGCACAAAACCAAAAACCAACTCCCTCCGTGCAGCTGGCTCCTATCACGGAAGAAGACGCAATGCCCGCGCCCAAGAAGCCACTTCCCGTCCACTGAAAGGCGACGGACGGGCAGCAAGACGGAGCATCAGGCAGCGGCGAGGACAAGGGGGAAGTAGGAATCTTCTCCCACCGCCTGTGGGAAAGTCACATCGGCCGCCTCGGTGACACAGCCTGGTCCTTTCTCAAAGCATGAGACGGTCACCGTGGGATTGAACAATGCCTCTAGGCCCAGAGCTGCACCTCTAAGAATCGGAGACATACATGAGGCAGGTCCCGGATGTGAGCGCGCCTAGAAGCGGTCCACGACCCAACAGTCCCGCCGAGCCGAGACGGGTGGAAGAATCTGGAAAGCGGCTGGTGGACCGTGTCCTCAGGGGCCACGACTGCTGCGGGAGCATCACTTGGTGTCACTCCACCCTCAGACGTGCCGCTGACCACATGCCTACCACACACCGGCCACGCGCCAAGGCTCCGGGGAGAATCCATTGGCTGCACACACGGCGGGGTCTACGTGGCCCGGGGCTGCTGGGAAATGCCATTTGGCCACTTTTGTGGGTTTCCACTTAGATGAAAATTTCAGGAAAGGCCGAGAGGTTTCTGGAACGGGAGAGACGGCAGGCAGGCGAGCTCCTGCAGAGTTGGGCGGGAAGTAGGACCAAGTTCTACTTGGTTCCTGTCTGGGGTGATGCGATGTTCTGACACATCTGTGGCGGAGAAGGTAGCACCTTGGGAGCACAGTGAGAAGAGAAGCAGCAAAGCCCACCAGCCCCGGGGCGGGGGCTGTGAGTGAGTGTCTCAAGAACCCAGTTCTCTGCGGAATGGAAGTGGGGCTGCGGCCCCCGTTCTAGCAGAGCGGCTGCCGAGTCCCTTCCCTTCCGCTCCGGGGGAACACCAGGCACACGGACCTCACGTGCGTGCGTGATGCTCGGGTACCATGTGGCACACAAAGGCTGGTCCCGCGGGGGCAGCATGAGGGAACCGGGGAGCAGAGCCTGGGCAATGGGTCCCTCCAACCCAGCTGGGCAAATGCTGCTTCACGGAGGACACAGTTCCAGCGTGTTTGCCAGACAGCTGTCTGGCTTCCGTGTGCCGGTGCTCTAGGAGTCGGAACAGTACTTTCCTTCTCGGTTTGTTGTTTCTGGGGCCACACCCAGCAGTCTCAGGGCCACCTTGTAGCTCTGAGCTCAGGGACCACTCCTGCTGGGTCTCAGGGAACCACAGGGGGAGATGGCGATCCAACAGGGGTCAAACACATTCCAAGCAAGCACCTTCTCCCCCTGTACGATCTCTCTGGCCTCATGAGAAAGAGTTTCTAAGAAGAAAACGTGGCCCATGACAATCTGTCTCTTGGGGGTGGGGATGTTGAAGAGAAGAACTAAGGTGGAACTTCTATTCAACTCTTTCAGAATGGAACCACCGTTAACAACGTGATAAGGTGTTTTAATCAGTCTAGGAATTAGGCCAGGCACAAACACTATGATTATTCATGAACTATACACAGACTAATACAGCAGAAAATATGAGATCGAAAAGATCAGCTAAAATCCCCCTACACTCACCAGTCTGGGAAGGACGAGGCTGCCACCCGGTATGTAAATGGGCCTGAATGATTAAGCCATGGTGGTGGCTGGGACTGATTCACCCGTGGTTGGTCCTCTGCTGGGAAGAGGGAGACTGAGTCAGGCTGCTCAGAGGGGGAGGGCATACATAGAGTGTGTGTGGGGAGGTGTGTTAACTCATCAGAACTTTTCCAAGACAGTGAGACAGAAACTCCTGCCCATTCTGAGGTGGTATCACAGAACTCAGGGAAGGGCCCAATCACATGTGGGACATGTGTGTGCAATGATGGGCCCAATCACGTATGGGACATGTATGTACAGCGATGGGCCCAATCACGTATGAGACATGTGTGTGTACAGTGATGGGCCCAATCACGTATGGCACATGTGTGTAGACTGGCGGGCCCAATCATGTATGGGACATGTGTGTAGAGTGGCGGGCCCAATCATGTATGGGACATGTGTGTAGAGTGGCGGGCCCAATCACATATGAGACATATGTGTAGAGTGATGGGCCCAATCACATATGTGACATGTGTGTAGAGTGGCGGGCCCAATCATATATGGGACATGTGTGTATAGTGGCAGGCCCAATCACGTATGGGACATGTGTGTACAGCGATGGGCCCAATCACATATGAGACATGTGTGTGTACAGTGACGGGCCCAATCACGTATGGCACATGTTTGTAGAGTGGCGGGCCCAATCATGTATGGGACATGTGTGTACAGTGATGGGCCCAATCACATATGAGACATATGTGTAGAGTGATGGGCCCAATCATGTATGAGACATATGTGTACAGTGATGGGCCCAATCACATATGGGACATGTGTGTAGAGTGGCGGGCCCAATCATATATGGGACATGTGTGTATAGTGGCAGGCCCAATCACGTATGGGACATGTGTGTACAGTGACGGGCCCAATCATGTATGGGGCATACGTGTACAGCGATGGGCCCAATCATGGAGGCCAGAGGCTTGATGGGTCAAGATACAAGTTCTTCAGAGGCTCAAGGACCTTGGCCCTTCAAGCAAAGTGTCTGCAGAGCTGGCTCCTGTCCCAGACCCCTAGAAGTACTTGATCTCCCTTTCCTGTGTTGCTGACGAAGCTTCAGTATCCCACCAGAAGCGTCATCGTAATCCCCACCTTCAGCTCTGCCAGTACCAAGGCCCTGCGAGCAACCACATTTGAAGGAGAAGGCAGGTGGGAGTTGGGAATACAGCACAGAGGAGCTTCTCCCCTCAAGCTGACTCGCCAAATTAAGAAGTGCTCCTGGGTTCTTTTGTTCCCTACACTTTCCCATTTTCTGGTGGAAAAATTTAGCTGAAGAGATTTGGAATGCCATTTCCAGAGGGATCACCTTCAGGCCAGACACTCCCCTGCCTCAGCTCAGCTTCCACACGGCTCTGCGCTGCCCGCTAGCCACCATTCACGAGTGGACTGTTTCCATTCCCTCTTCTTCTAACATCTCTGCAACAGGACACCTCTTAGAGTGTACAGACTGAGAAATTTGGTTTTATTTTTCCTTCATTTGTGCCACTAGAGAGTCACATATGCAAGAATTATAAGCACTCCAGTTGAGTCGCACCATTGGCTTGAGGAGTATTTAAAAAAAATATATATATATATATGATTACTATTTTTAAGGGCTGGAGTGATAGCACAGTGGGTAGGGCATTTGCCTTGGATGCAGCCAACATGGCTGACCCGAGTTCGATTCCTCCGCCCTTCTCGGAGAGCCTGGCAAGCTACCGAGAGTATCTCGCCCGCACGGCAGAGCCTGGGAAGCTACCCATGAAGTATTCGATATGCCAAACACAGTAACAAGTTTCACAATGTTATCGGGCCCGCTTGAGAAAATCGATGAACAACAGGAGGATAGTGATAGTGATAGTGATTATTTTTAAAAAGTTATTGACCATGATGTACCGAGCCACTGGGAAGAGCTTCAGGCATTCAATGCCCAAGGAGTCTAGACAGTTGCAGAGTCCTTAGGAAAAGCCATGGCAAAGTCTGCCCCCTCAGGCGCTTCTCTACCACCCGAAGGAGTCGCCATCACAGAGGAGTGGACTGGCAGTAGGACTTCCTGTCAGCAAGAGTCCAGCACCTGTTGTAGGGCTATGAAGGCTTCCTTCACTCCACCGATGCTGGGGGAGAGGCCTTGTTTGATTGGCTTACTTGGAAGGAGGAGTTCTTGTTTTATTGGGTTACCTGGAAAGAGCCCTCGTCTGATTGGTCTCCTGGGGAGGAGGAGGTAGAGGGCTTGGGTGATTGGTTTACTTAGAGGAGAAGGCACTGTTTCATTGGTTGAGGAGGAGGAGGAAGAGAAGGAAGAGGAGGAAGAGGAGGAAGAGGATGAAGAGGAGGAAGAGGAGGAAGAGGAGGAAGAGGCCTTGTTTCATTGGTTTACTTGGAGGAGTTGGCCTTATTTGATTGGTTTACTCAGGAAGAGGAGAAGGATGAGGCTTTGTTTCATTGGTTTACTACAAGGAGGAAGAGGAAGAGGAGAAGGAGGAGGAAGAGGAGGAGGGGGAGAAAGGAAAAGGAAGAGGAGGAAGAGTTGGAGGGGGAGGAAGAAGAAGAGGAGGAGGAGGAAGAGGAGGAGGAGGAAAATGAGGAGGAAGAGTTGGAGGGAGAGGAAGTGGAGGAAGAGGAGGTGTAGGCAGAGGAGGAGGAGGAGGAGGAGGTAGAGGAAGAAAAAGAGGAGGAGAAAGAGGAGAAGGAGGAAGACGAGTGGGAAGAAGACAAGTGGGAGGAAGAGGAGGAAGTGGAGGAGGAGGGAGAGGAGGAGGGGGGAAGACAGGGAGGAGGTGGCCTTTTTTTCACTAGTTTGCTTGGAGAAGGAGGTCTTGTTTGATTGGTTCGCTCTGCTAGTGGACCAGGCATTGCTTCCTGTTTCCGGATATGGCTGCCACAGGGCTCAAGCACGGAACCATCTGGCCCAGTGAGCTCAGTAGTGTCAGAAACGAGCCCCAAGGCCCCCCTGGGCACTGCTTGGGAGCTCCTGCGCCCCCAAATAAAGAGATGAGAGCCAAGTGCCCACACGCCGGATGGCTGCGCATGGGGGGCGGCCACTCCCGGCCCCACTCGCTGCACACCAAGCACCATCTTGTTCACACTGTTTCTAGAATGCTGCTATTGAAGGAAGGACAACAGAAGCCAATGGACTAGGAGGGCAAAGAGAGCGAGATTTGTCATTTCAGTGCACCTGGCATCGAAGCTTTAGAAAGACTTAGCAGTAGAAATTACTCAGAATTCCCCGGGAGATTGACTAGAGTGAAAACAATGACAAAAGAAAAAAAAAAAGTCAGATTTTCTTAGAAGGAACATGCATTCACACAATGCCGCGGGTGTTTTCAAGGTCTCAGCTCTACAGAATCTCTGGAATTGGAAAACAGAATCTCCGGGAGGGGTACACAAAGCATGACAGGTGTGGCTGGTACAAGGAGCAGGGGAGCCGCCAGCAGATGCTTCAGACAAACAACCAGGAACCCCCACCTAACCCCGCACACCTCACACCAGAGAACCGGGGGCAAAAGGAAATACGTCTCTAGGTCTGAAATGAAAAGCCCAGCGCTGATGAGTAGCGGGGGGTTACCTGCAACGCCCCGTTTCTGCTGAAGGACGACACACACTGCATCAGGCGGCTGAGCTCTTCCGACACAGTCTCCACCACTCTGGACAGCACCCGGGGCACCAATTCTTTGGAGATGGTGAACACCTGGCGGGAGATTTAAACAAAGAACAGTGCAATGCGATCTGGCTAGAAGAAAAGACAAAAAAAAAAAAATCATACAGTTTGCGGCTACGTGGATGGATCCGGAAGGGCCAATGGGGAGTGAACGCACCAGAAAGAGACGGCCAGATACACACCGGTCTCTCTAAACAAAGAAGCAGAACCTGGAGCTGCTCCACAGAATGGGACTCAGCACGGCTTAGAGACTGGGAGGGGGCCGGAGGGAGGGGACTGGGAGGAGCAGGAGGGGCTGTGGGGACAGTGCGGAGGAAATCAGACACTCTGGGGACAGGGGTGGTGTTGGCATGTTGGAGGCACGACACCCACCACTGCCAGTCTTGTGAAATCACAGTGAAAAATATCTAAAAATGCATGATAGGGGCTGGAGCGATAGCACAGCGGGTAGGCCGTTTGCCTTGCACACGGCCGATCCGGGTTTGATTCCCAGCATCCCATATGGTCCCCTGAGCACCGCCAGGAGTAACTCCTGAGTGCAGAGCCAGGAGTAACCCCTGAGCATCGCCGGGTGTGACCCAAAAAAACAAAACAAAACAAAAACCCCGCATGATAGGTATGGGGCGTTTGCCTTCACGCGGCTGACCTGGGTTCAATTCCCAGAATCCCATATGGTCCCCCGAGCACCACCAGGAATAATTCCTGAGTGCAGAGCCAGGAGTAACCCCTGAGCATCGCCGGGTGTGACCCAAAAAAACAAAACAAAACAAAACCCCGCATGATAGGTATGGTCCCCTGAGCACTGCCAGGAGTAACTCCTGAGTGCAGATCCAGGAGTAACCCCTGTGCATCGCCGGGTGTGACCACCCCCCCAAAAAAAGAAAGAAAAACCCCGCATGATGGGGACTTGGATTTGCTCAGGACAAAGTTGTGCCCACCAGTCAGTAGCCCCTAGTCTCCCAGGCCACGTGGAAAGGGCCAGGATTGTGAAAGGAAGGGGAACAGACAACTCCCCTTCAGCGCCGGCAATGTTTCATGACCCACAAGAGCCTTCTTGGAAATACGCTAACACGACGTTGGAAGGTGTTGATGGTGCCAACAAATGAAAAACGGCTTTGAATTTTAACCCCGCCTTGTGCCACCACCACAAGAAGAGAAATGCTCTTCAAAGAGCAGGTTACAAACAGTAAAAGCCATTAAACAAAGAAATGAAGTAAATAAATGTGCAAATGAAAAAGACCAAAGTAGGGGCTGGAGCGATAGCACAGCGGGTAGGGCATTTGTCTTGCACGCGGCTAACCTGGGTCTGATTCCTAGCATGCCACAGGGTCCCCCGAGCACTGCCAGGAGTAATTCCTGAGTGCAGAACCAGGAGTAACCCATGTGCATCGCCGGGTGTGACCCAAAAAGCAAAAAAATAAAAGAAAAATGGAAAAAAAAAGAAGAAAAAAAGACCAAAGTAGCAACTGGTTGCTAGAGTAGGGTTGGGGCCAAGAGGGTGACAGGGCCAGGGACAGGGGTGGGTAAGATGTCAGGATGCAGGCACAGTTTGAGTTTGAATGATGCACACCTGAAGTCTGTGCCATGCTATAATGCAAGATGTTACTTCCATTAAGATAATTTAAAAAATATGTCAGTTCCTATTTCTCCACCGTCAAAGATTGTCACGCTGGATCAGGCCGTCCTTAGAAGTGGACAAACCCTACCTCACCCCAACTGCACTCTTCCGTGGGGGCCCACGAGTGCACAGCTTTGCTCTCCACTAGACAGACATTTTCATTCGACTGAAGGGCGAAACTACTTCCCAACTGTGCTCCTTTGACACCGGAAGTGATTCTATTTGGAAACCCATGCTCACATGTAGCTGTCCAGCACAATATCTTTACGAGTTCCCCCTTATTTCACACGGAGTCACCTGTACTGGATGTTCTGGATTAATCGAAAAAAAGCTTGGCGGTGGGAAGTTCTGGGTTTGATCGCGTGGGAGAGAGCAAGAAGATACACACAGAATGAAGTGTGACCTTCAGTCACTGGGGCATGCGAGGGACAGGTGGCGTTTGGGCCCCATCGTCTCATCTCGCGGTGATTCAGAGCCCGCCCATCACCTGTCAGCTCAACGTGCTCCCGTGTTTCCTGGCTCTACGGCACAGAGGCTCTCCCCAGTGCATGATTTCACTTCAAGTTCTAATTAATTTCCCTCGGCGGGGTGGCTGGTGTAGGAAGGACTTTTTTTTTCTTTTAATAGCTTTGATAGAAATATATAAATGATGTAATATGGTATAAAGACATATCATAAATTTTCAATATGTAATATTACTTATTGTAAAAAGATGTTCTAAATCCCTTCCTGAGTGAAATCACACAGAGCTTCATTTTGGCGTGTGATTTGCATCTTCTCTCACAGAGCAATGAGAACTGTGACTGGGGCTATTTCCCCTCCTGCTTTCGTGGCCTCCACCTTGGAGGCCCATTTAGGGAGAAGGGGTGCACGCTTAGTGTCTTTTCAGACATTCTTTTCTCTTAAATAACCATGTTTGTCCAGTTTGTCTCCAAAGCCTCTTACTTCTGGACACAGCGGGGTGGCGTTAACCTTCACACAAACCCACCCAAGCTTGGATCCGAGGCAGGAAACTCAACAGCACTCAAGTGTCACTTGCCATGCTCTGATGCCATGCTCTGGGCTTTGTCCCGTTTTCTCTGGTCACCCAGCAGTCCAGGAGTCAAAGGTACGTTGCTGGTCCTCACAGGGTATTGAGCAATGGACAGTGACACCTGAGAGCCACGACAAGGACAAGGATGGCAGCTACAGTCCCTCCTTCCCGCATCCAGAAAAGAGTCCCAAGCCGGATGTTGACCAGGGTATCACGACACAGCCTTAGATGGTAACACCTGTGAGGGCACACTTCGGAGAGAGCCCGGAGCTTCGACACCTCCTCTGCCTGCATCAGCCTTGGCGTGTCTTTGCTTCCTGACCAGCCTGTCCTTGGGGTTGAGCTTTCTAATACGCCAGAGCCTTGGTCTTCCTGCTCCACCAGAAAGATACGGAACTCACCAGTATATGAGTTATGCAGAGCACAACAGATTGACCAAGGGAAGGATTTGACATTCTTTTAGATGTCTGGTAACTCTCTCTCTCTCTCTCTCTCTCTCTTTCCTTTCCATCTCTCTTTGCCTTTCTGCTATTAAAGAATTGACTTCTAATTGTGTGAGAGAGAAAAAAATGGACAACTTCAGAGAGAAAAAGACACTTAGTTAAAAAAAACACATGCATGCATGCACACGCATGAAAGGAAAGTCGAATTTTATTTATCCCTCAAGAAATGTTCCGCAGGGGCGGGGGGTGGGGTGGGGAGGAAGACCACTGTAAAAAACCATCAGATTTGCCTCTGTTTCGTTTTTTTCCCCCCAGTTACCCATATCGCTTAAGGAACATCTAATGATAGCTTACCTCTGCGTGCACAGCAATTATATTCACCAGTGCTTCTTTTAAATAGTTTCTGACACCTGAAATCAAGATGGGGGAGGGAGAAAGGCATTTAAACAACAAGCTCCTCATCTTCCTGCTGGAGGGGTGGCATCCTGCGTGGCTGAGAAGTTTCTAAGGAGAAACGGAAAGTAACACCACTACCAGCTACTTCCTCTTGAGAGCTGGGTGGTGAAGGACCATCTCTGCTGTTTAGTTAATGAAGACTTTTCTCTCACTGTTGTCCCATGCCTTAACTGCACTCTGGTTGAAAATGGAAATGAAACATGTCCTGCCACTTCTTTCATATGATGTATACAGATATACAGAACAGTTTTTAACCAAGCTTAGGAAACATGTGTTAAGCATCAATCTGGGTAATTTCACTTCCAAAGGTGAAAATCCATCCTGTGGAGGATGTTCAGGCTGACCTTAAGAAATCACTTCCGGGTGAACAGGACAAACCAAGATCTGACTCTATAAGGCGAGTTCAAGATGGGACAATTTAACAAAATTTCAGAATGGTGGAGAGTTAACACTGCCACGGCATCACCTAACGCAGGCATACACAAGATCGAACAGTGTAAGAGTATAGTTACCCGGGACCAAACTTGGATTCCATCACCTACGAGCTGTAGCTTTCGGTAAGACCAGACAGGAAGCAGATTTTCTCTTCTATCAGTGGGTATAAAATAACAACTATTTTATACTCATTGATAGAATGGGGGCTGAGGACCCAAGTAGTCCAAAGCACGCACTTGTTCCTGCCACATGCTGTGACCACTAGGAACACGTGCCATTATTTTTGCAAGAAACAGAGATGAAACACAATATACGTATTTGTTATTTACAAAGCAATGGTTCCATGCCAAGAGAACTTCTTGGAGTTGAGTAACTTCAGTGATGCTACTCCCAGGGAATAACTGAAGTTGAACACGAAACTAACGGCACGGACCACAGAGTTCTTACCTGGAGAACAGAGATACAGTCCATTGTTCTACAAAGTCATGGACATTCATAGTAATGTTAAAGAGAATCTTTCCCCAGAGTTTCCTGCCAGCTACTGTTCGGTTAGTTGAAATAAAGACCAGGAACTAAAACAAAGTCTTGAACAGGCACGTGCAAAACCACATAAGCAGCACTTGGCCTGCCCCGAGCTGAACTCTTTCCCTTCTAAGAAGGCAATGCCAGAGACAGTTCATCGGGGAATGAAGGATCATGTGTTATTCTTTCTCCATTGTGGAAGAGCCGAGAAAGAGGGTGAAGAAGAAATACCATGTCAGCAGAAATCACTTGGTTGTTCCTGAGAGAAGGCTAAATGCCAGGCAGCAAGCCTCTCCAGGGAGGTAAGAGGCTACAAGAAGCCTCGCAGGGGCGAAAGCGAAATTAGCTTGTGCTCATGTCCACGACGTTTCCTTCCTGTGGGAGAAGGGCCTGACCAGGGAGGATCATACACTTGGAGGGTTGGCCGCCACATCACTGGATTATTTGCCCGTTGCACTCAGGGCATGCAGACCTTTGTCACCACAGAACAAGGTCACGGGGCCTTCTCGTATTTATTGCTCTCCTTCAGGAGTACTGAGTAGGGTGCGAGGGCAACGGGGACCCAGCCACCATCACGATTCAGGTCTAGAACTTGGAAATCACAGCCCTGCCTGCATTGGACTAGGTCGATACACACCAACACAGTGTGACACGGTGATATGAAAAAGGTCCATGAACATCAATAGTGGGGCAGGTGCTTGACTTACATGTGGCAAACCCAGGTTATAGATCCCTGACACCTCATCTTGTCACTCATATTGCCCAGCCAGGCGTGATCTCTGAGCACAGAGCCTGGACTAAGCCCCGAGGACTGGCAAGTGTGACCTGCCCCCAATAAATAAACAACAACAACAACCACAAAAACCAAGTACTGGGTCAATGAGGGCAAGTGGAATTGAAGAGTAAGAAATCCAGTCATGGAAAAACCAAACAACCGAACCAAAGGGCCAAAGTGAGAATAGAAGTGACTGACGAGGTTGCCTCACATGCAGCCAATCCGGGGTCAATCCCTGGTGCCACGCAGGTCTCCTGAGCACCACCAGGAGTGAATCTGAGTGCAGCAAGGAGGAAGCCCTGAGCACTGCCAGGTGTGTCTCCCCAGAAGTTACAAAACAACAAAACCACAAATTCAATCATCTCTGTTTCCCACCCCATGTGAGTGGGAACCAGAGTGCGTGGAGTTCCTGCCCACGAGAGCAAAAGAGAACGCCACGGCTGGCGCAGGCACTTATTAGTATAATAATCTCTTGTCTGCCTACAGATTTAGAAAAACAGCAGATCCCAGATAAAGAAACCCCGGACCATTTCCTAAGCATTTACCTGCCGGACCCTGACAAAATCATCAGACATTGCAATGTCCCGTCAAGGAGTCCGGAAACTTGAGTTTGACTTTGAGCGGCCAGCAGGAGTGACCCTTGGTGCCCCTTAACCAGCCACCCGGGCAGAGGCCATCGACACAACGGTGGGATGGAAAAATCAAGGCCACCTGACTTGCTTCTTGGAGTCGCAGACGGCTGCCATGCTGGAGTTAGAAGAATTGTTTTTAAAGGAAGGTTCCTCTCACCTAAGCCCCCACAACTTTCCATGCTCCTGAAGGAGGGGCCGAAGCGTTTATTGTAACAGGCCTCTCTTCTGGTCTCTGCATACGAAATGAGAATGTGTCATGAAGGTTGACCAGAAAAGTCTCCCCACCCACACAGTATCAATGTAGACTATCAGGTAGCAATTAATCGAGTAGGCCAGTGTGGAATTTCCCCATGGAGAAAACAGGGCCGTGCCCGGCTCTGAGCAAGAACCAGCGGGCCGTGTCTTCCTGTAATTCAGCCTGCCCCCAAACACCACCAACACCGTCTCGTGCTCATCCCTCCAAGGGAGGAAGAAGAAGGCGTTTGTGTTTTCATGCTCTAGTTGTGTCTTCTTCTAATCAGCAATCTGGACAAACTGTTAGGCAGACTTCTCCAGGGAATGCCTCTATAGAAGAAGAGAATACTAAAATTTCTGGAGTATTTATTCCTCATTCACTTTTTATTTTGAAAAAAAATTACTCATTGAAAAGAATTAGAATAGCACAGAAGTGGATTTTTTTCCCCCACAATGAATTTCAAATAAATATCAGCATTCTTCTCCCTAATCTGGGCATCTTATACCACATTTTTATTATACCAGTTCTCTCCCTATGAATGAATATCCAGATTTTTCTTAAAAACTGAGATTTTCTTCTTAAGACTTGCTTCATCCACTCTGCACATGATGACAGACATTCTTCCACCCTGGTTCATTCATATCTACCTTGACATTCTGAATGCCTGCCTACTCTTCATTTGGTAGGGATGTACCACAATTTGCTCATTTTTTATTATTCACTTTATTCTATTCATCATAGATTCTCCTACTATCAGACAGCCCCGCTGCCTCTCAAAATATACTACCAAGACAAGACTTCAAAGGACATTTCTACATTTCTAGAAGTGGAATCGCTGAGTCAAAGGGTTGTCGTGTTGTTTAGTTCTCCCAAGTTGTCATTAAAAAGGCCACACAAAATGATACTCCTGCTTTCTCACGTCTTTCTATACTCAGCGTTTGAATCCTCTAATTATTCTCTAATAACCGCAAGATACAATCCGCCTCAACTACGGTAACAATCAAACTTTTCGTGCAAAAGTTAGGATAGGAAATGAAGCAAAACACAAAAGTCCTCGGGAATTTTCTCCAAGTTTTGCGTGACCGTCCTTGGTTGGTCGTCAAGAGCATCCGAATGAGACAGAAATGCGACAGGAGAATGACAGGAAGTAACTGCTGTTCTGCTGGTGTCTGGACTGAGAAGGCAAACTCTGCCATGAAGCATTTCCTGACAAAATCGGGGGAACAACTCCTCTCAACACAGACGGGTTTCGAGACATGCCACGAAACGTTGTTTTGAATTGTGATGCTTTGCAGTCAATACCTTGGAAACTCTGGAGATACTACTACCTCCTTTAGAAACCACATTTCCTGTTTTTAACCCCTCTGCCCTAAATCAGTTTTCAGTCCTAGTTGGCAGATAAAAATAGATTGCAAAAATAATATAAATATCCCACAACGTACTTTTTTTGGGTCAAATTGAAACATTACATGAAAGGACTTTGGGGTATTTTCTTTTCAAGTAAATTATCTATTCAATGCTCCCCCAAAGACTTGTTATTGAAATTACTGACTACTAAAATGAGGTAACCAGAAACTTATCAAACAGAGAGGAAGACCTCTCTGGCAACAAACTGAACTTCTGGGGGAATAGGGAAAAGGTGTTAAATCTGCTTCTTAATTTTTTTTTTTTACTTGCTCGTTCCTATACTGATGGCTGTTAACGTGTGTCTCTTGCTACATATATTAATGTGTTTTTAATACAAAAATTAATATTTAAGAAAAGATATCCTTTTAGTGTGTTATATGAATGGATAACCTCGGTCCTAAAAAGCGGAATTCCTTCTTGGGAATTTTTTTCTTTTTTTGATTTAATTTGATCTCTTACTCGGAAAACTTTTTCTCCTATAGAAACAAAAACAATGCCAACAGTGAAAATAACTGTGTAGCTACTTCACAGCAAATCTGTCTATTTCTGAGAAAAAAATGCACATTTATTGGACTTTAGTATTCATAAATTTCAGTGACATACAGCTATCAAAATATGGGTATGGGTGGGAGAAGTCATCCACTGCGAGGTTGAAGTCTGATGTGTAGGAGACGATGAATATCATTAAGATAAAATATTCAGAGCACTTTGAACATCTAGCGCAGACTCTTACTTCCACCATTCAAAAACTGATACCCTAAACTTTGGGCTTAAAAATGGATCGCTCATCCAATCACTGCCATGCTCATGACTGATCTCCACAGGCTCAGACGAGCCTCATCCATGAGCAATCTGTTGGAAAACTCAGATGTGTGGGTTTTGTGACTGAAATCTCCAGGCTCTCATGAAGTTGGGGATGGGCTAACTCCTCCCATGGCCCTGTTATTC